AGAGAGAAGAGGCGACTGATCACTAGCGCTACTTGATACAATAAAGATTTTTCATAGCCAGTTGGTAACGAAACGGAGACATTGAAAAACATATCTATTGCTTTCTGCTGTTCTCCTTGAAATGTCTCTATCCTAAACGTCGCGCAAACTCTCCTTAAAACCTCGTCGTAGATCGCTGTTATCTGAAAAGTTGACCGTGAAAACATTTTGTTCACCTTCTTGTTTGTTAATATAAAAATTAATTACCAATTCGAACCAATCAGAATTGAGGAAAAAATCGACAAAAGGAGTTAACCAATAAAACATCATTATATATTTTCCTGCAAAAGGGTGACGTGACGGAACACGATTGGCGTCAGGTTTGCGTAGACGTTGCCTCGCCTCCGTTTCACCTCGGCGGGGGAGGGTACGGCTACACGTAGGCTACTTGCTTCATGACCGAGAGCCAAATATTTTCTCGTCCGGCCCCACCGTATTCGGTCAATAAGCATTTTATAGAACGGCATACATGCACATAAAAATGATGTAATTAAAAGTTTTCGTTTTCATTTCGATTAACCCAGAGAAGGGAAGGGAATAAGCTAAAACACAAATGATCTGGATACCCAAAACACTGTGACAGCGGAAGTTCGGAAGTTTGGGAAAAGTGATTCATTCATTTTGTTGTTTCATTTTTAAAACATCAGCCGCATCGTCAACATCTCGGTAAGTGCAATTGAAAATCTTTTCTAGTCACTCGGTTTTTATCAGCTTTAGTTATATAATAACTGTAGAGAGGTAAGGCTTTTACTGATGGAAAAGCCTAGTAGCTGTTTTTCCGAGCTTTGTGTTTGCAAGATGTAGTTATGTCTCGTTTCGAGCGTTAGCCCTTCACTAAAGCGGCTTATGGCGCGATTCAATAGCCACCACAGTGAAAAAGAATACGTTCTACGGTGACTTGTTAATCTCTGTGGCTTTATACCGTTTAAGTTATCCTCATTAACTAATGTTATTAAGTATCGTTCAATTTGAGAAATTGATGATCATAAAACTCAAATCAGACGTCTATTTATGTTGTGGACTGTCCCTCGCTGAAGGAAATCCGTGGTGCTTCATTACGTGGTTTTCCGGTGGCTATGATCTACTTTAGCTATTTAACTTGACTTTTTTTTAGGAAGGTTGAACGAACGATTCAGAGATCGCGCTAGATTCCAATTCTACTTCTACAGAAGCGTTTCGTGGTCGAGATACCTTTCACATAAATCTTTGGACACTAGCGAAATGTTCTAAGGTACATATTTTTCAAAGGGCCGTAACCTGTTTCTTTTTCTGTTAAAATGCAGAGTCTCGCATAAGAAGATAAGTCATGACGCTCCGCGCTCACGAAGAGAGATGTTTTAATTTTCTGTTATTACATGTATAGTACTGAGCGTACTTTTTCCGTTGAACGAATGCTTCGTATCTCCACCGTTAAATTGCTTTCTTCAAAACTTTATGGTTTTATACAATGAATTGCAATTTCATTAGCTAAGATTGTTCAGCATTGTTTAATTTGAGAAACTTATTGTTTCCAGAATCACGTGATCAAAAACTCAAATATAATGTGGACTGTCCTTTACTGATGTCAGAATATATTCGCGGTGTTACAATTCGTGGTTTTTCAGTTTCCGTAATTTTCATTAATAATTCACGTAAACTTTGTTCGCTTTTTGTGAAAATACCAAAGTCTCCCATAAGAAGAGAGGTCAGTCTAAGACACCGCGTGCTCACGAAGAAAGATGTTATAATCCTCTGTGAGGAACTGAAGGAAGTGTCACTGATCACTGAGCCTACTTTTCAGATGCAATTAGTTTACGAAGCCCTGCCGTTAAATTGGTTGAGAGGCTTTGTTACGCTTTGAAGCAAACATTGCCTATTTATGCTAATAAGTATCAAATAAATACACAGTACCATGATATAGTATTCTAACCCTGTCGCCAAAAAGAAAAATTGAATGACAGAATTCATATCGCCCAGATGCCGAGAGGTGTTATCTCCTTCACTTTCCTACGACGCACTGTATGGCAGGGCCTCCACTAACTCGCAGCTTGTTTTCTTGCCTAAAGCTAAAGTTGTCTTCTACTCATTCCATGTAGTCTAAGAAATGCGGGAAATTGACCGTCGCAGTTTGTAAGAATAGATGACTTTCTTTTGGGATAGATCGTTTGTCAGAAATAAAAATATGAACGGCAAGAAAAAACAAGATATAATTGACTCACATGGAACATTCTAAAGGGAAATTCGAAACAGATGGTCAGTAGTCACTGCATGCGGAGAAAAGAGAAATAAGGAATTTTTACGATATTTTCTCATATGTTTGCAAAAAAGCGAGACTCTTAGTCAAATAATTTTAGTTTAAATTTCGAATTCAAACTTCATTCCAAATAGTTGTGACTACAATGAATGGTCTTTATTTGCCGATCACAAGAAAACCCAAATCGATATTTTTCTGAGTGCCTCAAAAACAGAAAAATGCATATTAAAAAAAAAAAAGTAATAATTTTTAGAATCTTTCAATATGTTGACATTTTAATAGGCATGTCCACCATCCAGTATTAAAAGCTTTAAAGACTCAACGATGACTTCGATCCATTTTGTCAATCCGTAACTATAAATCGATCAATTTTGGCTTCTCAGCGTTCGCCAGAGGAAGTTTAAATTAATAAAAACGAGGACAATGTAACCAATTGTCAGTTAAATGCGATAACTATCGAGTACTTTAAATTCAAGAAGCAAAGAAAAGAGTTTAAGATCACAATTAGCTGCCGTTGGAATAAGACTGAGAGAAATTATGGAGGATGGAATATTGAATAAACATTGAAATGGCTGTTTAAGAGTGTGATGGTTTAATTAAGTAGCAGTTTTCACCTGTTATGGTTCCTTTTATAAATTCTGATCAGATGCGACAAGAAGAGAAAATAACTGAGGGATGTTTTCAAATAACGAAACGAAACGTTAATTTAAAATTCAAATTTCTTGATATCTACGGCCATAGATTAATTTTTCAGTTGTCAGTTAAATGTTTTCGGAATTATAACTGTTTTCAATTTAATTCAAGACTATTTTTCGTGTGGCATGAACATTTTGTGAGAGATTTATATTTGCGGATGGAGACAATTTGTGCTTTGTGGGAAAAATATTTAGTACGTCTCTACATGACGGACAGTTTCGTCAGTGAAACATCAGGCTGAGGGCGAATGTACTACCGAAGGGTCAGAAAGGAAGGAAATAGATAATTTCATTTTTTATTTTTTCCTTCTTCCGTCTTCGCCATAGTTTTACAAAGAGGAGGTAAACAACTGGTAGGCGATTGGTCGATAGATTTTTCGAGTGTGTCCGAGGACAAAGAATGTACTCTGGATACTTGCAATTCATTCACTTTCGTAGCTTATAATTTGGCAAAAGATAACAGACTTTCGCAATTTTTTATTGAATGCGATTTTTCAGCGGGAACGTCGTTTTGCGGATCGACAAATATCCTGAAAATTAATTCAGGTATACCGTTCCGGGCCAATTCCTATTTTTGTATCTACAGAGAGGTTTATCAAAAAATAACAAACTAACAGATGTCTTCATCCTTGAGAGTTTTATTAGCTCTTATTTAAAATGCATTCTTGAATAAAATTTATCAGCCCGAGGGACACCTTTTAGGGGGTTGATTTATGCAAGGCATACCCTCTAAATTCCAAGAAAGGTTTACGTGTATTAATATGAAATAGTCTCGGTTAACAGTTCCCTCAACCAATTTAAAACGAGTAGGATGCACTGAGGAAGATTTTAGAGTTGATGACATAAAGAAAATTAAAAACGAAGACAATGCAAGAGAATAATTTAAGATCACAACCAGCGACCGTTCGAATGAGACTGAGAGAAATTAGGGAAGATGGTTCTTTTTATAAATTCTGATCAGTTGCGACAGCAAGAGAAAATAATTGCGGGATATTTTCAAATAACGAAACGAAACGTCAAACATTTTCCTCAAATTTCTTGATATCAAAGGTCCTAGATTAATTTTAGTTGTCAGTTAAACGTGGTCGGAATGATGATTGTTTCTGAATTTATTTCAAGACTGTTTTTCGTGTGGCGTGAACATTTCGTGGGAGTTTTTATTTTTGCGGATGGAGAAAGTCTATGCTTTGTACGAAAAAGATTAGGTCCGTCTCTACATGACTACTAGTTTCATCAGTGAAACATCAGCCGGAGGGGGGATGCTCTACTGGCAGGACAGAAAGGAATGAAGGAAGGAAATAATTTGAGTTTTATTATTCCCGTTTGCCATCTTCTCTATAGTTTAACAAAGAGGAAGTAAAAAGCTGGTGGGCGATTTGTCGATAGATGCTCCGAGTAAGTCCTAAAACAAAGAATGTGCTCTGGATACTTGCAATTGATTCCCTTTTGTAGTTTCTAATTTGGCTGAAAATAACAAACTTTCGCAGTGTTTTATTCAACGCGATTTTTGAGCGGGGAACGTAATTTTGCGGATCGTCAAATATCCTCAAAATCAATTTAGATTTACCGTTCCGGGGCATTTTTTATATATTCATCTACGGAAAAGTTTGTATGTTTTGTTTTGTTTTATTATTATTATTTTTTTTTTTTTTTTTTTTTTTAATGTGGAACTAACGGTTGTCCTTAACCTTAAAATTTTTACCAGCTCTTATTTAAAATGCGTTCTTGCATGAAATCTATCGACCAGATGGACACCATATGGGGTTGGGAGGTTGATTGATGCAAGGCACATCCTCCAAATTTCAAGAAAGGTCTATATGTATTGTTAACTAATTGTCTCGACTGCCAGTTCGTTCAACCAATTTAATATAAGTTGGATGCATTGAGGAGGTTTTTAGCGTGGATGATATAGAGAAAAATAAGATTTCACTGTTTCTTGGCTAGGTGGTTGCTGTGAAGAAGTATTATCCCGTGTTCCCAGCAGTTCCGAAAAACCGTAGCGAAAGGAGGAAAACCGTTCTAAGAGCTGCACCATGATTGCAACGACAAACTCAACAGAGGGTGGAACACAGACGGAAACATATGAAGTATCGCGATGCTCCTCCTCCTTGTTAGTTGGGTTACAACAACAATCGATTTGTTTCTCAGTAGTTAACATTTTCCTCTCCATCACAGCATTTCTTGGGAATTTTCTAATTCTTGTTGCCCTCAACAAGGAATCTTCCCTCCATCCACCGTCCAAACTCTTGTATCGTTGTCTGGCAACAACTGATCTGTTGGTTGGTCTTTTTACCCAGCCTCTCTCTGCTACTTATTGGATGTCCGTAGTTCACAAACACTGGAGTCTTTGTCGACACGCAATGGACGCAATTTACATATCAAGCTATGCATTATGTGGAGTGTCTTTGTATACGTTGACGGCCATAAGCGTGGACAGACTTCTCGCTCTGTTGTTGGGAATAAGATACAGACAAATAGTAACTTTAAAGCGCACTTACATCATTGCAGCTACGTTTTGGATCTTACCCGTCGGCGCTGGATCAATTTCCATTTCACACTCTCGAATAATCCGTTGGTATAGTATTATAGTTATAGCGTTATGCTCAGTGATCTCAATTGCCTCGTACACAAAGATATTTCGAACTCTTAGACATCATCAGGCTCAAGTACAAGATCATGTTCAACAACAGCCGAGCCAAGAAACTGCTCTGAACATGGAAAGATACAGGAAGGCAGTAAGCAGTGCACTGTGGGTGCAGTTAGCATTGGCTGTTTGTTATGTACCAAAATTTATAATACTGGTTGTTATCAATCATAGCAAAACTTATTCTTCTCGTTTAGTCGTTATTGATGCAATTGCATCCATTTTAGTATATTTTAACTCCACTTTGAACCCGTTCCTTTATTGCTGGAGAATCAGAGAAGTGAGACAAGCAGTAAAGCAGACAATCCAACAAGCACTTTGCTTTCCATGGACTTAGATATATTTTCTTGGAGTTATCAGACCTGTATAGATCAGCCGTAATTTGAAGGGAAAGAAAAAAGAAGATAGAATCGTACAAACACGACTTTTCAGCATCTTTGGTGTTAAAGATGCTTTGGTGTTTGCCTATTTAAGCTAACAGATATCAAATCAAAACACAGTACCATTATATAGAATTCTAACCGCGTTGGCAAAAAGACAAATTGAAAGGCAGAATTAATATCAGTCAGACGTCAGAGGTGCAATTTGTTTGACTTTCCTCCTATATAGTGTATGGCAGGGCCTCTGCAAACCAATAAAGATGAAAATTGGATGGACGATTTGAGATGCGTGAAAATTTAAAATTTACTCTAAGAAGTAGGAGAATCTAGTAGAATCTAAGGAAAAATTTTAGGGGATCGCATGATTTCCAATACGGAACTGTGGGGGTCAGTCGTCGCTAACAGAGTACAACGGGGAGACTAAAGAATAACGGTTCTATTGTTTATGTGGTCTAAAAAATGCGGGAAATTGACTGTTGCGGTTTCTAAGATGGCTTTTATTTAATGATAGATCGTTTGTGTGAAAGAAAAGTTTGAAGGACAAGAAAAAATAAGATAGAATTGACATATATTGAACATTTAACAATTGGTTCATACGTCAGCGTGCATTCATCGAGATATGAAGCACGCGGGCAGTTTGGAGAGCACGAAAGATTCGTAAGAGTTGCTCGAGGCGTAGCCGAGAGCTAATCTAGCTTCTTGAGTGCTCTCCAACTTTCCCAAGTGCTTTATATCTCGATGAACGCACAGCCGACGTATGAACCAATTGTTTTATAACATTGTCAACCCTGCGAAACGGGATGACATCGGCCGTGCCTGTTCTTTGTTTTCTTTTTCTTTTCGTTCTTTTTGGGGAGTTAAAAACTCCATTCCCAAAGAAAAATTAGGCAGTTCTTCCTCGTCAGCTGGCTCACAACTTTCCATGCTTAACTTAAATTGCCGCCGAAGTCTTAACCAGTTTTTTAATAGTAAAATCCCAAAGTAAAAAATCGCGGATGGTTCCTTTCATAAATTCTGCTCAGATGCGAGAAGAAGAGAAAACAACTAAGGGATGTCTTCAAATAGGGAAACGAAACGTTAAAGATTTTTTTTTTTTTAATTTCGTGACATGTACGGCCATGGATTAATTTTAAGAGCGTGTCCACGAGAGCACCAGGGAGTCGTGCTACATGCCACCTCACCGATTTCAATGAAACTTTTCCAGTTTAAAGGGTCTACCCCAAAACTCTAAAGACAAACTGGTTTCTGTTTTGGTTTTTTTCCTGGGGGAGAAAGACCACCCCCCGGTTTCTCTGGGTTTTCACCAAGGAAATCGGTAAAATTAAAAATAGTAAAATAGGTAAAATGTATGAAGCTCTCACTGTGATGGTATTTAACCAATTACCTAGGGTTTGCACACAATTTTTTACATCATAGTTAATGTCTGCCGTGAGTATCAGTCAATTTGATTTACGACTTGTCAATCAACAGAGGCAAATAAACGACCATGTTTTTAGACTTTGCGATTCATCCAAATATTTGACAACTTTGAGCTCAAATATCTCCCCTTGCCAGAAAGCTACAACACTAATCTTGAAATCCCTTTATAATTCATCATTTCGTCGCTGAAAAAAATTTAAAAAATATTTTGAGCACCACCGTATTTTTGTCTTGGATGCCTTTTAAAATCTGCGCCAGTGACAAGTTTCTCTCAACTACACCTGTCACACAATTCTTGCTGAAGGCGATCAGTTGACAAAATATTAAATTATGTAGGAATGGAAAATTTCACGTTGAAAGAGATGCATGTAGGCGAAAAATCGATGGGAAAATCGTAGTGTTTCTTTCTTCTGTTGTTTATTACTTTAAAGATTTGCTAAAATCAGGAAAAAGGGGTTTTGCACGGCAAAAAAAATTATTAGTCTATAATTTGATGGTTTGTCATCATCATTGCTCATTTTAGGTGATTTTAAAGTCACATGCTGCGTGTTGATTGACATTACTACAAGTACCAGTGTGCTCCAACTTCGGCTTTTACAGACGAGAAATTCTGCGCTCATGGATTAATTTTCAGCTGTCACTTAAATGCGCTCGGAATTATTACTGCTTTGAATTAATTTCAAGACTGTTTTTCGTGTGGCATGAACATTTTGCGGGAGTTTATTTTATGCGGATGGAGACAATTTGTGCTTTTTAGGCAAAAAAGTAAGTCCGTCTCTACATGACTGACAGTTTCATCAGTGAAACAACAGCCTGAGGGCGCATGTTTAACTGAAGAGACAGAAAGGAAGGAAGGAAGGAAAGAAACAATTCAAATTTTATTATTTCCTTCTTCCATCTTCTCTATAGTTTTACAAAGAGAAGGTAAGCAAGATGTTTGAAAACAAAGAATGCGCTCTGGATACTCGCAATTGTTTCACTTTTGTAGTTTCTCATTGAACTGAAGATAACAGACTTTCGCAATATTTTATTGAAAGCGATTTTTCAGTGGTAATGTCATTTTGCGGATCGACAAATATCCTCAAAATCAATTTACGTATACTGTTTGGGGCCAATTCCTATTTTTCTTTTTTTTTTTTTAGCTATAAAGAGGTTTTTTCAAAAACAACATATATTAACAGATCCTTGAAATTTTTTTTCAGCTCTTATTTAAAGCGCGTTCTTGAATGAAATTTATCAGCCAGTGGGACACCTTTTAAGGGGTTTATTGATGCAAATCATACCCTGAAATTCCAAGATAGATGTATGTGTATAAATATCCAATTGCCTCGACGGACAGTTCGTTCAACCAATTTAGGACGAGTAGGATGCATTGAAGAAGTTTTTAGAGCTGATAATATAAAGAATTATAGCATTTTATTATTTCATGGCTAGGTGGTTGCTGCGAAGAAGTATTCGTCCGTGTTGCCAGCAGTTCCAAAAATCCATAGCGAAAGGAGGAAAACCGTTTTAAGAGCTGCACCATGATTGCGACGACAAACTTAACAGAGGGTGGAACACAGACGGAAGCACATGAATTATTGCCATGTTCCCCTACCTGGGTAGTTGGGATTCAACAACAATTGATTTCTTTCTCAGCAGTTAACATTTTCCTCTCCATCACAGCATTTCTTGGGAATTTTCTAATCCTTGCTGCCCTTAACAAGGAATCTTACCTTCATCCACCGTCCAAACTCTTGTATCGTTGTCTGGCAACAACTGATCTTTTGGTTGGTCTTGTTACTCAGCCTCTCGCTGCTACTTATTGGATGTCAAGCTATGTATTATGTGGGGTGTCTTTGTTGACATTGACGGCCTTAAGCATGGACACACTTCTCGCTCTGTTGTTAGGAATAAGATACAGACAAATAGTAACTTTAAAGCGCATGTGTATATTTACAGCTACTTTTTGGATTTTTTTCCGTAGCCGCTGCCTCGTTTTCCTTTTTGCATACTCGAATAAGCTTTTGGTATGATATTGTAGTCAACTTTCATGCTCAGTATTCTCAATCGCTTCGTACACAAACATATTTCGTACTCTCAGGCATCATCAGGCTCAAATACAAGATCATGTTCAACAACAGTCGAGCCTAACAACTGCACTAAACATGGCAAGATACAGGAAGGAAGTGAGCCGTTTGTTATGTACCAAAAGTTATAGTGCTGCTTGTGCTCACTTATAGAAAAACTTACTCTTCACATGTAGTCTTTATTGATGCAATAACAACAATTTTAACATATTTTAAATCCACTTTGAACCCGTTTCTTTTCTGCTGGAAAGTCAAAGAAGTAAGACAAGCAGTAAAGTAGACAATCCGACGAGCACTTTGCTTTCCATAAACTTAGATATATTCTCTAGGAATCGTTAATCAGGCGTAATTTGAAGGGAAATAGAAAAGAACATCCAATGAAACAAACACGATTTACAGCATCTGCTGTGGTTTAGATGCTTTGGTATTTGCCTTATTATGCTAATAAATATCAGATAAAAACACAGTACCATTGTTTGGCAATATCACCCGTCAGCAAAAGAGAAAATTGAAAGAGAGAATTAACATAACCCAGATGCCGAGAGGCGCTTTCTGTTTGGCAAGGCCTCTGCGAACTCGCTGCTTGTTTTCTAGCCAAATCCTAAAACTGTCTTCTGCTCATTCTATGTTTTTAAATTTGATCTAATAAGCCATATAATAGCAACGCACTATTGTAGACTAAACTACTCCCGATTATAAGCGCACGATTTATGAGAATTGAACGAAACGAACTGTTATAGATGGAAATATGTTTCAGCCTTGAAAGAGAGAAGGTAAATAGTGAATGGGAGATGTTTTTGAAGTTAGGAAAGTTAATAAAGATAAAAATTGGATGAACGGTGTGTTGGTTTAATTGCTTTATATTCTTCACCTTTAGTGTAGTTCCTTCGCGTCCTTGTCAGACGCAAAAGGAAGAGAAAATAACTTGTAGATGTTTTTCAACAACGTAAGATCAATGAGGTATGTTTAAAACTGCTAGGAATCTAAGTCCACCAAATATTTTTGAATAATTTTATCTGTTTGGAGATTTTAACGATTGTGATTTTTATCTAAGAAGTATTTCTGTGTAATATGCAAAGACTGCGGTGGAAGTTTTTGTCATGCAATTGGAGATCATTTATGCTTTGCGGGAACAAATGTTTCTCCGATTCCAGATGCGTGAAATTCTAAAATTTATTCTTAGAACTAAGAGAATCAAATAAAATCCAAGGAAGACAGATTTTTGGGGATCATATGGTTTCCAATGCGGAACGGAGAGGGTCAGTCGTCGCTTACAGAGTACAACGGGGAGACTAAAGAATAAGAAGTCTTCTGTATATGAGCAGAGGGGCATTTTGTTGCGCATGCGCCAAGAAAGTTTGTTCGGCGCGTTCGGCGCCATTTCAATATTTTCAGCGCGCTTTTACCGGTTTTCGACTGAGCGATCGACACCTTTATGTGATACTTTTTGGAAAGGGATGAAAGGGTAT